ATGTTGTCCAGGCTGGTCTTGAACTCCTGACCTCAAATGATCCACCTGCCTCAGCCTCCCAAAGTACTGTGATTATAGGTGTGAGCCACCGCGCCTGGCTTGGCATCAGTTCTCACAGGGGACTACTGGCCCTTCTCTTCCAACTCCTCCTCTTCCCAGGGGCAGGAATAAGGGTATGCTGGAAGCAGCTTCAACCCACCCCAAAAGCTGACTGAGCAACAAAAGAGAAGGAACAGACCCTGAACAGCCTTGTGAAGCAGACTGCCCGCCACACACATGCCCTCATCCACCCACTGGCTCCGGACTGCAGAGAGAGAGAGGAATAACCAATCTTAAGTAAGCACCTGCATTTTGGGGGTCCTTTTATCAAAACAACTTCATCTCTACACTAACACACCACCCAAGCCTCTGTCTTTTCATCGGTAAAATGGAACCACATAATACATCAGAGGGTGGTGCTGAGAATTCTATTAGATGCCGCGCCCAAAATATGGCACAAAGGAGACCTTTGACATGCGAGCTATTGTCAGAATCGTCACATCCTATCTGTATGTTTCCCCTGGCTCACAGCTTAGAAAACATTAGGTGCGGGCTGGGTACTGTGGCTCACACCTGTAATCCCAGCACTTCGGGAGGCCAAGGCGGGTGGATCAACCGAGGTCTGGAGTTTGAGACCAGCCTGGCCAACCTGATGAAACCCCGTCTCTGCTAAACAAAAAATTAGCTGGGCATGGTGGTGGACACCTGTAATCCCAGCTACTCGGGAGGCTGAGGCAGGAGAATCGCTTGGACCTGGGAGGCAGAGGTTGCAGTGAGCCGAGATCATGCCACCGCACTCCAGCCTGGGCAGCAAGAGCGAAACTCCGCCTAAAAAAAAAAAAAGAAAAAAGAAGAAAATATTAGGTACTTCGTAAATATTAAGCTCAGCTGAATGGAGGAAAATATAGCATCCCAAGAGGATTGGAGAACAGAGATCCTGGCCCCTGCAGGCAGAGTGGGACAGCGAGTGCACCCCTGGGTGTTCCCAGCTGGGGACAGAGGGAGCAAGGGTGGAGAGGGGCACCTGTTGTGCTCTGGGAGTGGACAGCAAGGAGCAAGGTTTGACCCAAGCAGAAGTGGGAGTCTGCAGAGGGCCTGGACCCAGGGCCTCTCTAGCTTTGGAGACCCAGGATGTGTGAGAGGAGCAGAAGGGCAGCTCCCAGAGAAAGTCCAGCTTCCAACACCTTTACGATGACAAGTAATGTCTGTAGAGCAGAGAAACTAAGCTCAGGCCAGGGCTACTGGGCCGCTGAACAGCTGATACCACAAGCCCAAGGGCCCCGGGAGCTTAGTGAGAACACATGAGCTTAAGTAACTGGGGCAACTGCAGCCGCCAGGAGCTCGCTAAGGGCTTTATAGAAATATCTCGACTTCCACAACCACCCTAGAAGACAGGTATTATTTTATATATATATATATATATATTTTTTTTTTTGAGACGAAATTTCGCTCTTGTTGCCCAGGCTGGAGTGCAATGGCGCGATCTCGGCTCACTGCAACCTCCGCCTCCCAGGTTCAAGCGATTCTCCTGCCTCAGCCTCCCCAGTAGCTGGGATTAGAGGCATCTGCTACCACGCCCAGTAATTTTTGTTTTTTTTTAAGTAGAGACGAAGTTTCACCTTGTTGGCCAGGCTGGTCTCGAACTCCCGACCTCAGGTGATCTGCCCGCCTTGGCCTCCCAAAGTACTGGGATTGCAGGCATTAGCCACCGCACCCGGCCATTTGTATATATTTAATGTTAATTGATACTTTCCAAAGCCCAGAGGGGCTGTGCTCCCTCTTCCCCTTGCCCTCCCTGAGGCCCCATCACCCACCTTTTGAACCGGGCCCTCCGCAAGGTTGCCATCTCAAGGCCGGCAGAGATGGTCAGGGCTGCAGCCTCAGGGAAAGGCGGGTTTCTGACAGGTTAGAGACCCCGGCAGGCAGGCAGCAGGCAGTGGGGCAGGCAGTTTGGAGGTGGGGCTGCAGGAGCCCGCTCACTCCCAGCTCCCACCTCCAGTCCCCAGCAGGTGTGCACCCTTGGCCTAGCCCTGCTTTCATCCACCTGGGGACCTTATACCCTCACTGCTGCAGCCATACCTGAATGCACCTGCTCCTGGGAAAGCTCTGAGCCCCGTGCTCCTTGTCTGAGGTTCAACAGGACAGGCCCAGTGGCCACTCTGAGGGCCCGCCCACCCGGGGAAGGTGATGCGCGTGCAGCCTCCAGATGGCCAAATCAGGCTGCATGCCTGGCCCAGGTGTCACAGAAGCCGGGGCAGGGAGAGCCTCTGGGGCCGGATGTTTCACCAGGTCTGGGAGGACTCAGTAAATATTAAACAGCCCCTGGCATGCCAGACAAGCTTCCAGACGGGCACATGCAACCCGCCGGCCCCAGCCCTCACGTGAGGTTGCTACAGCAGTCCTTCTGCCTGTTGTGGTTGGCAGAGGCCTTGGTACTCGGCTGTTGCAAGTGCAGGCTCTGGAGGCAGACAGGGCTGGGCTCAAGTCCTGCACCTGCCCCCAGCCTCCAGGCAGGGCAATTATAGGACTGACTGCACGGGCTTCAGGTGAAGACTCCATGCAACAAGGACATGAGCCAACCATTTACCCAGGTGACTGGCGGTGTTGGCCGCTCGGTGATGATGACAGGCATGCACTCGGCACTTGCCAAGTTCAAGCTCTGCTCTCAGCGCTTTTGTTTTTTTTTAAACTGAGACGAGGTCTTGCTCTGTCTTCCAGGCTGGAATGCAGTGACGTGATCTCGGCTCACTGCAGCCTCCGCCTCCTGGGCTC